CCCCAAAACCCCAAAACCCCAAAACCCCGTGGACATAAGGAAGTACTGAATAGGGTTTATAATAATTACACATGAGTTCAAACATAATCAATAATCCATCTGAAGCCTCCCTGGGAATTTGGGATGGATCAGATCAAGATATAGAAGAAGAGGAATGATCTCCTCAGGTTCCTAAACACACGAACCAGTTTAGAAATCTGCTGAGGTATAATAAAGGAAGAGCTAATAAAGATGACTTCCAGGAAGACTCATGAATACATCCGGGTTATAGACATAAGAATTTGAGGTGAAGTAGAGGTAAACTTGACACGAGAGGTTCTAAGCAGCAGATAAAAAGCAGACCTAAAAGGAAGCTGAAGGACTTCAAACCTAATACGTATGATGCTAAGGCCTGTGCAACGTGGAGAGTACTTCATCTTAGGGAGAAAGATAGTAAATTGCTAAGGAAAGTGCCTTCGAATGAGATTCTGAAAGTTTTGCTGATTTAGTCAGCATATAATAAAAGAAGGGAAATCTCCAGACTTGATATCTTAATAATTTGTATAATTAATTTGCTTATAAGCTTCATTTCCTCTTTTTGCCTCAGCCATGAGAGCCTTGCTGGTGGTTCCATTAGTCTTTATCATCAAAATATTTCAAAAAATCTGCAAATAAAACAATCTTAGGGTATAAATTAAAATAGGTTTTTAGAGATTCATGAATCTTAATTTTAAAAGTGCATCTCAGATATATTGGTCAATATATATTTTGAAACTTCCAGATTTTTCAATAATTTTTTTAAATGATAGAAACACCACAATAAGCCAAAGAGGTAACTAAGAGCTCAAACAAAGCCCAGGATCACAGAAATCTTGCCTCATCTAATGATGAAAGATTTGATGGATTATGAAAGAGATTAGGTCAAGATTGGTTAGGGAGTGAGTTAGGGTTTAGAAAAAATTCATGGAATTTAATCAAGATTAGTGAAAGCAAGAAAAGTAGAAGGTAAATTTTTTAGTTCTAAATTAAAGGATAAACAATGCGATAGAATTAAATGATATAGAGCCCAAAGGACAAAACAAAGATCAGGTAAGCAGCTCCAATTTCTCGAATACAATGCCCCTGTAATAGAATATTCGTAGTGCTAAATCTAGTTAAAATAAGGCATAAACCAATCCTAAAAGATGGCATCTCTCTAAAAATACCTCCTAATATAGCCTAGGTATTATAACAAGAAGATCTCATATGTAAATGTACCTTAAACTGCAATGCAGCAATTTCTCAGATCCTTCAGTTAGGCTCCCCATTCCAGAAGTCCTGCTATAATCCTGACAATTTTCTCTGATTTCTTTGAACAAGTGTTGCATCAAATTTTAAGACTCTTTTTACATGTAAAGCTTTGGCCAAGATGACTGTTTCCCTGAAGTACCATTCTTGACTTAAAAAATTAGGATAGTAGCTTCTATCAAGTTTTTCGATACTTTCTGAAAAATCACAGTAAAACATCTCATCCAGCTGCTTAATTGACTGAGAGAGTGACCTTGTCTTCAGCAGGATTTGACAGGAAATACTCTAAACGAAATTATTACCACAAGCAAGCTACAAAATATTCAGCTTCTCTGTTATGGCACCTGCCGATCCTGAGGTCCCTATCATTTCAGGACTAAGAAAGCCATAAGAACATCCCTAAAAATACTATTTATTTTCCAAAATGTGGAAACAGTGTAGAACAAACAATCATTTTTACCTCAGTCTGCCTAATTTTTGATCATTTCAAAGTAATTAAGTAGGTAAACTTCTACTATTACACTGAATGAGTGAAGGAGGCTTCACAGTTTAGAGGTTATCTAGAAACAAGATTTCACAAGTGTTGGTGAAAATGATATCTCAAAAAGACTGATAGCCTTAGGTAGGTGGCCTTAAGCCTTGCCACAGTTGAGGTTTAGCTCATTGGATTGGGATAAATAGATGATGATCGGAGTTATGGTGATGCTATGAATTAATGAAATCAACATCGAAAGTTTTCATGATTTAGGCTTTAAGTTGATTAGGGTGGCTTTTGATATGATTCTTGGAAGCAGACTAGGCTAAAATGATTAGTCCTTTCTGGACGCCCCCATAGGATGGTCTGACCAATGTTTTAGGACTCAGTTGGAATTAGTCTGTTAATTGGCCTTATCATTCTTAATCTGCTCTTTTTTGCTAAATTATTCACCTCATTAGTTTAATAATTGTCATGAAGTACCACTCAAGCCTATAAATTTCAAAATGCTCAAAATTGTCAAAAGAAGCAGTAGGTTGTTGAGGTTAAGTTTGAATTAAAAATTGAAATGGCCCGAGCTATTATTTACTCTCTAGTAAAGCCATGAAGGGAATGGTAAAATTCACATTGATGATTCTCTAATCTATTCTAACATATTAACCATAGGAATGAATTTATAATCAAGAGCTGTTACTATTATTTATTTGACCATTTTTCATGAATCACTCCTCAAAAATTATATCTCCCTCATGGAGGTTCTACATGATCTTTGAAGCTAGGAGTAACTAAAAGTAGCTCTAAGTGCGTGAATAGACACCTTCCTGCTAGCTATAGCTGAAATTTGCAACCTCAGTCATTTCTAAATCAGCCATATTGTGAGTTTCAGTCAAAGATATTATTTTGGGGTTTTGGGGTTTTGGGGTTTTGGGGTTTTGGGG